TCGATTCCTTCATTTTCTCATTACCTGTGATACAAACTCCGTTAATATATTTGAGTTTAAGCTGGATTTCGGTATAAAAAGCAATTAACGGTAAGTGTTAAAATCAATGCGAGTACATTGAGCTAATAAAAAATATTGAGAAAAAAACCCAAAATAAATAGACAGTAGATGAAGAAAATTGTTACCTTTCTGATCAAAAGGACGACAGCCTGAAGAATTCCAATTAAACTAATGAAACAGAGGTGGTCTGTAGAGCGTAAAATGTTATCGGTATAATTGACTGACCCAAGTTATTCTGAAAATAACACAAAATGTTACATAAACATGCACGTCACGCTGACGAACGTGTGCATGTATGCAGAAATAAACGACATACTTCTGTGTTGCTTCGATAATCTAGTTTCGCCATAGTTTCCCTAACATTCCGTGATGAGCTAAAAGATATACTTTTTGGTACTTCTAAAAATTAAAGGTGAAATTATCAAAAGTCTCGATGTAAATCCTTCTTTTTTTTATATTTGTATTTGAACCTGTTGACATGTTAGTGTTTTCTTTCTGGGTTTTGTCTATCATTTCACGATGGATAATTTGACCAGATCTTAACAAAGTAAAATGATCGAAGTTTGACTTCATAAAAAAATAATGACATGCTAAACTACTCTACTGTGTATAAACAAACTGAAACTCGGTTGTGACCCTTCAGCTGACAAACCATTGCGACTGGAACATTCGGTCAATGGTGTAAAAATTGAGCTTATAAAGGACTATTCCGCCGATGACAACTTAATTTATGGTCGTTGTTAGGGGCAACATTTCCGTTGATGTTTTTCTTCACGTCTAAATTTTGAACTACAATGAAATGTTTATCAAATGATATCAGGGTTGCATGACGTACATTTACAAACAGATGAGTTTGTGGACAACAAAATTGTGTGTTGTAGGACAATATGACAAACTCCTTAATTATGTATTTCTTATATTACAATGAATTTACTTTTCCCGCTATTTTGATGGCAATGTGAGATGTCTTTTTCAGAATTTGGATTAACGAGATCAACAGTCACTTTGAGATCGATGACGTCATAATGATTTTTTTCAATCTCACGTTTCATTCTTCATTGTCACTGAATGACACATAGCAAATGTGAAGGACCGTTTTGTCCTTTTCTAAATAAACATGGTCCTATATAAATATTTTCAAACATTTCTTGAACTAATTAGTTACAAAAAGTTGAATCAAATTCTCGTAACCTTTATATCAACTGAAGAAATAAACACCATTATAATGTCCCATGCAATCTTGTCTACATACAAAATTACCAGCTGTTTAGCAATTAAGCAGAACATCACGTCTCCACCCAGCGGAACACATTAACGATATTGTAATAGCTATATAATGTACTGGAGAAGGACAATTGGCGATGTCAACCGCGTCCACACACTTGTTAGTATAGGTCATTTTTTTTCTGTAGATATTTTTTTCAAACTGGTACTAAAGTATATAACAGACCCTGGCATATGTATTATATCATTCAGAACGAACATGACAACGTATCAATGAATATTGTCGTCACTTATTATTTTTATTATTCATCATCAAATAAACATTTACTCGTTTTCAAATCATCAGCGATGCTTAGTATTTTGTTGTCGTTATATGCAAACACTATTTTGCCTACCACATATATTTTTACTCCAAAGGGTGGATGTTATCCAACTCCATCAATAACTCGTTATAACTGTTGCAGACAATTTTTTCACATCACACTTATTTTCATCATGACAACAGGTGCTTCACTGCAGTTGGACGGTTTTAAGTACATAATCAGAACCGGCCTAAAGAAACAAAATGGCTTCTCCGTCATTTTCCGGAAGTCATCGTTGATTAGCTTCCATCGGGTTAAAATTGCCATTTATCGACATTTTTACTGTTATATTTGGACACATGTGAAAATATAACGTTGAGTTGCCTTAGTGGCATGTCTAAAACCGCCTCAATTTCTAAACTAATCATGACAACTACTGTTAATATTATAGCACAATCTAATATTGGCAGTCATTGGAATTGACTTGGGAAGTCCATTCAAAATGGCACAATACTATATTTTTAATCCTGTAGTGAAATGAAACCGTGTTGTCATGTTACCTCCATTTCTGTCTTATTCTTTTTCTCATTTTTTAGCCGAATATGGTACAAAGGAAAACGACATTTATTTCTTTGGCTTAGTAGAAAATTCTGATATGTATGCATTTGTATACGCTACGAAGTGTGAATATCTGCTACATCGGTGAAATATAGAAAATACGGTTAACACTTTGTTAACCAATATTTCTTACACGTTTGCTTTGTGTATTGAGTTTAGTAGAGCTAAAGCTAATTTTATCATGATCAATTTTTAATTAACTAACGTATTGTGGATAAAAGTTTGATGATTTCCGTTATGGGGTCGGGGTCGATATTCGATATTGATCTGTTTCATTGAAAAAAAACCCAAAAAAACAAAAAACAAAATAACACACACACACTACTGCCTGCTCATCGAGATATTGATTTGATCCAATAAAGTACATGTAACTACATCATTGGCGTAACATTCGAAAAAACCGTATCCCTGTCCGATCTGTTCCGCACGCTGATTTTCCTACTATAGTACATGTACATGTAATGAAAATCTTGCCATGTTAATCAACTAATTTTCAGATAGATCGATATTCTACAGTATATTAACTAGTTACTTCGATTCTATATACCTCCAGGTCGAAATTCAATGTATTGTTCAAATATCACATAGATCTGTTTCTTTATACGAATGGAAGTTCGGCATATTCATAAGCGCTGCCATGGTTCTTACTTTAGAAAACGTCACATTCAGTAATATTATTTAGAATTTCATGCTACATGCCTCATAAATAATAAAACTCTTTGTACGAAAATCTTCGAGTGCATTTAAAAGTGATCCTTTTGTTAGAATCATTCATCAGTGTCACGAACGTATTTATTCCAACTGCTTTTATCGTCATTGTTTGTCGTGTCTGTCTTGTTTTTCTACCGTCATGGCGCGACTGGTGTTCCGTAGAGGGCAAGTGACGAGGCACGAGAAGGAGACATGACGGTGCTCTATCGGGTGTCGTCATTATAATGTTATGGTACTATTTATACAGGTATATGTGATATACAGGTATATGTGATATACAGGATGTGGTACGTACTGTATATGTTATTTATAGTTCTATTTTACTTCTAGGTTGGATGTTAAAGCTTATTTACCATTTAAATGTTAGTCGTGCATTGTTTAGTGCGCAGTCCTGTTATACAAATCTGTAAACATTGTATAAATGTTTTCTTATTATTTTATGCATATCATTTCAATCTTACTTCCAAATACAAACATGTATAATAAGTATTTGAATGGCATTTAGGTTATATGTTGTATATATTCAACTTCTTGTAACAAATTTACTATATGGATGTCTATAGGTAGCATAAGGTAAATATGTTCGAAAGCTGTGGACCGGCACTTTTATGGTTTAAGATTTACCATTATTCAATTATATTTGGATTTTACGACTATCTAGGGTTTGTTTGTGATATATTCATGAATACATATTCAGCTATCTTGGGAATTTATTTCTTTTAATAATAGTATGATTGGTAGCTATGGGTAATGCCCATTGTTTATATTACATCTGTTAACTGGTGTATATGTAAATTAGCAATTTATTAAACAAAACCACAATTGCATTTTCTTGTCCCTTAATCGAGAATGATCTCGCTCGTCCATCGTTACTATAAATAAAATTAGCCGTTAATGAGAATTTGATGCAAAAAATATGTCATGTCCAAATTACAAAATAAATAGTCATTATCCTTTCTTTCTCGTTGTTAAACTATTTTTTTTCGACAATGTCTTCATTAACACCTTTAATATGTGGTTTGATCAATTTAACACGATCAGGCACTGGTTGTCCAAACTTTAGAGAATACCAGTGGTATGTAAAAATTAACATAAATAAAAACAAGTTGGGTACAATCTTTATCAGATATAGGTAATACATAAATGGACACTCCTCACGCTAAATTGTTTGTCAAACCGATCAGCATAGAGGCTTGTGATAGATAGACAGATATTTAAGAAAGGACGGAGCGAGAAAGTGAGAAAGGCACTTTTCTCGGCTCTGTGATGTCAGAACGTAAGCACGAGATGTAATGAAATGTCAATAAGTCGAAACCTTGAAGCCTTGTCAAATGGCTCTCTCCCCCCCCTCCCCTCTCCCTCTCTCTCTCTCTCTCTCTCCGTCTCTCTCTTTCTCTCTCTTCCCCCTCTCTCTCTTTCTCTCTCCCTACTCCCCTCTCTGTCTCTCTGTCTCTCCCCCCCACTCTCTCTTTCTCTCTCCCTCTACATGCCTATCTGTTAACATTTATAATATCCAGGTATTTATATATATGTTTATGATTGACATATTCAAAACACATGCATAAAAATAAGAAACATGTCGCCTTTTTATACAAAATGAATTTAATAGAAAGAACATTTTTTCAAATGTTGAACATCCATTTGTAAACCTAATATATATATTTTCATACAAGACAAAACCTGACATGGCCTTTCGCATAAATTTTGGTTTAATTATTTTGTCCTTAGTCCTAATTTGTAACGAAAAAGTAAATATTGTGTCATTAGGCTTTCAATAACTCAACAAAAACGTTTCTTTTTTCTTCAAAATGACTTATCTTATTAATTATTCCAAGTCAAGCCGGATTGACAAAAAAAGTGAAAAGTGAAATAAAAGAAACCCAAAGCCAATGAGACAGGTAATTCACACAATCCGTAAAAACGTGAGGTCGACTACTGATATAGCATTTTGTAACAAAAATAGTAAAATGTAGCTTGTTACCATAAATGAATTTTAAATGATGAAATAGAAACGATCCTCATAGTAAGGAAGTTGGAAAGATATTTATTGATGCTTTCCATATCTATTGTTGCGACGTCTATGGATTACAGTTGTTTATCACACACAACATACCTATTAACGTCACATTCCTGTTCAAGAATATATCCTGATTGTATCACCAGACAATTCAATCCTGTATCTGTAGTCGGCATTCCAGCACTAAAGAGGTTCATATTTACACTCGAACCATCTGAATAAATCCACGTATTCTCTATACTACTGTCCGATCCATCTACAAAAGCCCTAGTTGCAATGGATGGGGATAACAAGGCCAGTTTCTCTGGCGTGTCCACTTTAGCCAAACGGCCACCAAAGCCAGCGCAATATGATATAGCATCCGTGTGTTTGTATCTTGTAGTTATTTGCAGTTTGTAGCAAAATTGAAGACTTGAATCGTACACGAAATCATTCGTATCACATGGAATACAGGTAAACTCTGGTGATGACCACTGGCCATTCTGCTGACAAGTGACCTGTGGGTTTCCATTCAGCAGATGACCTGTGAGGCATGTATATGAATGAGATGCCCCCACTGAACTCTCCGCAGTTGTTGGTGTTTCTGCGTTTAAAACTGTAGGAGGAAGGGGGCACAAAATTTCGGCAGCTTCAGTCGTCGTCGTGGGCAAAGTCGTCGTTGTTGAAGGCGTCGTTGTCATCGTTGTTGTCGTCGTTGTCGTCGCTGTCGTTGTTGTCGATGTTGTCGTTGTTGTCGATGCTGTCGCTGTTGTCGACGTTGTCGTTGTTGGTGCGATGTATGCAAGAGTGGACACACACGTAAACTGACCACTAGATAATTCTACACACTTAGAGTCAACGTCACAAGAATGTCCAACACAAGATTCTAAAAGAAATGGTTCAAACTGTACTAACGCCGATCTCAAAATAGTACCAGTTGTGTTACTAGAAGACACAGTAATGTAAGCAACGTTTTCACCAAGCTCACAATTTGCTGTAGGAAAATCAAAAGCGATAACTTGGCATTTTGTTCGCAACAAACACGCGCGTGAACATTGCTGTAATCCTATGATATCGATACTTAGAAATGTCTGTGACAACTGCTGTTCATGTTGCACTACTTGTATGATCGTTTTGCCAGGACAGTTGTGTCCATTCACAGTAATCACCGTATATATGGACAACAAAGTCATACAGAGTCTTTCTGAACGGATGCCCATAGTTAAGTACATATAATGGTGTAGGACACACCGTAGTACTGCTTGTGTTACTGATAAATTATTTAGTATGCTTGCCTTTTTATCGAAACAAGTGTCCTGGCAAGGTTACTTTCAAACCAGTTAATTAGGAAAACAACAGTAGCGTAAGGAAACCAATAGGATACATGGACGTGCTGTGTATTGATGTACGCCAGCCAATGAGCTGAAGTCTATCAGCACTAACGGTATACCGGAGAAGATTAATTTGACAATGAAAATTCGATAGATTCCGTGACAGAATCTTCATTTATTTATCAATTTATTGCTTATGAGGTTGTGTAATTATCTTGTCTTATATTGGGTTCAATAGAATGAAGCGATGAAAATTCTACAAAATACTCACAAGTGAATCACAGCTTTTCATATAAATTTAGAGTTAAACACAGTAGAACCAAACAATGTATTTAAATTTAACCTAAGATAATAACAACAAGTTCGGTACGTGTACTGCGCGGGTTACAGGCGCACCAGAAAAAGTAAAATGTCACGTTTTGATCATATGACCTCTTTGTTCAGATTTGACTTGAAGCCAGGATGAGCAGGAATTACGTGCTTCTGGTTTTGAAAAGGTATGTAAGAGAATGAATATTTTTTTTAACTAATCATGTGTTTAAGTTTTTAATTTAAAAAAAAATGTTAATAAAAACCCATTTTTACGTTTTGATAGATAAGTTCGTATTCAGCAATATTCGGATAAGATAGGAAAACTGTAAAAATAAATATATATCAATAAATAAATGTTTAGTCCACCAACTTTCTTTGAATCCATAAAGTCAAAATCTCTTAAATTGGTTAATTCTATTAAAGGTTAGTATTTTAAAGCTATAGAGAGCATGGCAAAAACATAAAATGCAATACATTTTCAAACACCATCCAATTTTGTTTAACAATAACACACGCTTGCATATTTAAAAACCTTCACGCACCAGCGCATTTGACATTTATTGGAACTAGGAAAATTGATTACTGAAACCATGTTAAGGATGCATAAATACTGACATTTTATCAATCAATCAATTTATATTAATTCTAGTCATAACAATTCATGTAAAAATATTGGTAGAAGTCACTTCACATTACATGTGTTACCAAAAGTAGGACTGGCAGTGTTGGTGGTAGGGAGGGGGTGTAGCCATCATCCATCAAATATTTGTCTTCATATCAACTTTATACCCATCTCGTAACGGTTTATCCGCCCGGTCACATTATTCTGACATTGGGCCAACCAACCCTACCCATGCTGAGCGTCTGGGAATACTTACCGATATTTTTAAAAGACTCGGAATGTCTCGACAGAACCAATTGCTTTCTTCACAATACCAAAGGTGAAGGAGTGTCGAGATAGACTTTAGAAAGAAGACAGGTATGTGTGAAAGGAAAAGGAGAAGATAAAAGATCCCATGATTAGTCGTGACTTACAATGGGGGCGACAGCTAAACTTCATACATCCCTCATTCTAGTGCAGGACAAAAAGACTTAAACGGAAACAATAACGCATTTCTGAAATATTAATTATTAATTCTTCACTTTAATTTTAATAACTAAATGTGTCTTTTGAAAGAGATCACCAATGAGGAACATGTTTTGATTAGCTGATATTTCATTACCACAATATACAAATTACAAGTACAATTATAAATATGAGGATTGGAAAACAAGCCAGCTTATATATATATATATATATATATATATATATATAAATATCTCAACTTTACATTATTATTGAATCTGAAAATATAAATATTGAAGGAAAGTACTTACAAGTTTAAATACACCTTCATCAAGCCTGATTGATTTAGTTCATATTTTTTAATCGTTATTATTTTTCTTAAGCACATCTCCTAAATGTTTGTATACAAACCCATCCTGTGACTCTATGCATGATTTACACGTGTTTCATTCGGATAGTCGCACAGTTCAGAACAAACATGCGTACCTGACTTTGTTAAAAATTATCAGATATATGGAAATAACGTAATTTATTTTGAAATTTGGATATGATATATTTTTTTGCACCAAATTCTCATTAACGGCTGAATCATGGGACTAATGCACTAGCCTCCCCATTTAGATTTGACATGCATTTCGATCACTTTGCATTTTCTTCATTCGCCTCCTAGGCTTCAATATTTATGTCCTTAGCAACACTGATGGATCATAGGCGGACCAAACAGCTGTATGATGCAATTTAATGATTTGTTTGGCTCCACTGTATCTAACTCTAAAAATATATTAAAATGTGCTTTCATTTGTGTGTCTTTCGTACAAGCATTAATAGGTTAAAACTATTAAACCTTCCACTTTTTATTTCAATTTCGAACTATTGAAGAATCCATGTATCGTATGCACTCAATATTTGATTAACAGCCGTATGTTCGTGACCAAGTTTGGGATAAAATTATAAAAATGGTATCGAGGCGAGTAAACATGTCCTGATTTCAACCCATTACTAATGGTTGGCGCTTATCCTGTTGCGTGAGGTATCTCATCTAGCTGAAGTGGTTTACATGATAATGAAATAGTATTCCAATAAGCTTGTGGCAATCAATACGTTTGTTTATTTCACGTGAAGGTTGTTGCCTCTATCATTGGATTTTACAATGTCACTTTTGCTATAATTAGTATCATGTTATTGACCGATTGAAATAGGACAAGATAATGGATTTCATTTCATATAAATAAAAAATCGTAAAGTTTCCGAGTAAACATTCCAGTGTCATCTGATTGTCGGCAACGAGAAGGCTGCACTGGATGTTATGTTACTGCTATTTAACTTTCATCTATGCTTTTTATATGATGTTTTGTGTAATTTGGTATGATGATATGTATGGAAAACCAAACACAAACGCATTTGGCATGCACGAAGGAAAAATCAATGTATTTGCTAGAAAACTTTAGATTTGATTTTTTTTTCTCAGTATACTCTGCTTTAACATTCACGGATGATCTTGACTGCAAAAGTGATGAAGGAAGTAGTGAAATATATAAGAACCAAAGGTTTCCGTAAAAGTGATCTTTAATAATATTTCTATTGTCTATGGTGAACAGAAAGTTTATTCCTACAGGCAGTAACTGAATTTTATTTTACAAATCAACCAGTGCAACACGCGTAATTTGAAACGAAGTGATGATAGACCTTGTACACAATGACACGGAAAACTGGACATTTCTGAAACACTCTTTTTAACACACTTTTTAAGGAGTCTCCGTGTAAATCTTTCTTTTGTTCATGTTTTTGCCCAAATGTCGTGGAATTGGTAAATAACACGATAATACAAAAAAGGTCAAAACAAACATAGTGAATAACGTTGTCATTATTACTATATTGCTGAAAAGTCGCTGAGCGAGGTTTTAATATTTTAAAAAATTACCGTACATCAATGAACTTCTTTGTTCTTCGTGAAATGTTATCGATGCATTAAATCTTTAAGAACAGTATGTTTTTGATCGGCACCAGCAAATTCTGGGATTTAATTATGTATGATCAGCGTATATAATAACGATATAATTAGTCTCGTAGAACATCAAACATGCATCGAAAACAACACATTAATAGAAGAAACATTATGCTAAACTGGAAAATTTGCCTACAAATTCCTCAATTTTTAATGATTTCGTTGTAAAAGGATAATTGATATTGGTTCTAGTACACAAAGTTCATTTTTTTTTTATTTATAAAATTAGCTTCCTTTTCCGTTGCTTTAATCCGGTCCGATATATACACACTGTAAATCACGTACAATTCGCGAATACAAGATTTCGCGAACGCTGATCTAGATATAACTTTGAATTCGCGAATGATAAGCTATCACAGATACGAACTCTACAAAGGTCCTATACCGGCAGTCGATAGCTTTATATAGGCCGCCATTTTGCTTTCAATTCATGTGACTATATATGAAAAATGATTTTGTCATGTGATATGTGTTGTACCATAATAAACTATATTTACATTAGTATAGACTATTACGCCGACAAAAGAAACGAATGTGAACACTTAACATGTTTTATGTTTGAAGAGTTAAGTGAGTTGATTTCAGGGTAAGATGACAGGACTGTAGTATGCCAGACGTATTGTGCAGTGTTTAATGTTACGCTTCGTAACGTGTGTCTGCTGTTTATTCATTAATCTTGTCAGCGGAAATATATTTTTCTGTGTGTTTTTTTCTGCTGTTTATTTTGTAATTTGATATTTTCCAGGTTATAAACTCTATTATCTTAAATATTTTAGTACCTTACATCTATTATGGCAGACTTGCTTGACCTCCGAATTTAGACCTATAGTTGTGCATTTTAATAACGTAATTAGTGAAGTTCCGCCATCATTAACATGGGGATGTCGTTTAAAAGTACGGAATTCTAAAGAATTTAAAAGTAATAGATATCTAGAAGATTTGTTTGTGAATATATCAGGTAAATGTATAATTCAACGGACGTTAAAGTAAGTTAACAATGGAATAACGATGACGTCAACAAGATATTCCTACAAATAATACAGAAGGATTTGAATACAAGATTGGCTCTCCTGGCAAAATTAAAATAAATACAACGCGAAATATAAGTGATTTACAGTAGCCAATGGAAGTCGATGAAGCAGAGGGCGCTTACTGTTCTGGAGTCCTTTTGTGTGAAATGTTTTCCTTTATTACCGTTTTATTGATTTTGTTGATATGTTGATGTTAATTGTTTCTATTAAATACGTATTGTTCATTAATTTGATCGTCAAATTTCCAGCACATTGTATCTTGTAATTAATATTTGCTAGGAATATTTTTAGATTTATGATGGTCTGAATGATTTTACAAGCTGAAAGAATATTTCTGAAAAGCATGTAGTTACTTCATTGTACACGCCAATGCGCAGTTGTATGATCATATCATTAACATCAATCCGATAAATGGGAATTTGAAAAATTGAAAGCTACGTGATGGTTGCTGACCATTAGTGACAATACATTGTAATGCTGTGGGGGAAGGTTGCCCACCACACAATATGAAGATTCTACAAGATACACACAAAGGAATAGCACCATTTTATATCAAATCGAAATAAATTACAATAAATACAAGCAATGAATTTGAGAGCACCATACAGCTGTTTCGACCTTTTAGGATATAATTCAATGATGATAAGGGCCTAAATTTTGAAACCTGGCTATTGAGATTGATCGGAAGATTGCCAAAAGCTATATAGAGAGGTACCCGGTATTTTATACCTGATAATTTCAGAAGGACGTGAAGTTCATGTACATCTGTATATTCTGAGTTATGCGAGGAGGTGGATTGATTGAAACGTGGCTGCAGGATACAGTAAACATCGGGGACCTAAGTCCATCAACGTGTCAACCATCTGCAGTGTCTAAGATGGGATCGTTTTTAACTTTCGTAGCTCGGAAAAGGACTTTGTTGTGAACGTTTACTTATGGAAAAAAAGTAAAAAGCGTTTGTTTTACAGTCGAAAACATAAATTCTACATAAGGGAAGTGAGGATTTCATTAAAATGTTTCTCTCTATGTATGAATAACGGATTTTGCCCATATTTTGTCTGAATCATCCTTTGGTGAATCGCAATCAATTGTGTATGAACATTGGGTTTCGACCCCTTTTTTGGGCGAGATGAACATGGCCAAACTGGAGGAAACAGAGCTTTTAAAACAATTTTTCTTGCATAGAAATACATTGATGTTGTCCCAATTAGGCCTGAAGCATGCTTTGGTGAAGGGAAACATTGATGTAAACAGTAGATCTCAGCCCCTTAGTATGGGCGAGGGAAGGGGGCGACGGAGGAAGTCCCGTTGGGGAAATAAAGCAAATGCTTTAAAATCATTCTTTTTATTTAGGAATGCATGTCCCCGTTTGGTCTAAGACATGCAAGGGTGAACAGAATTAATTTCGCACAAACAGTGGGTTCCAGTTCCCCGGAGCGGGAGGGGTGGGGCCTTTGAGTCAATCAATATGTTTCATTGTAAACCTATTACCTAATTGACCTATTCCCTAAACATGCAAATGCTCTATGGTAATTATCCTTTCCTAGTTATTAATAGGGTTCAGTTGATGATTAATTCGATTAGAAGCAATTTTGTCTCCAAATATAGCCCGAAGTTTGACAACGGCAATTATTAAATTTAAGACTTTGCGATGGAATATATGAAAGTTTTATTCTTAAATTTCCCTTGAGCTCAGTAGTCGTTGCTATTGTAACTTAACTTTAAACCGCTAAGACCTATCAAAATCGATACATAATAACTAGTCACTGTTTAATAATTACTTTTTGTTAATTAACGTAATTAAATTTGTTAAATTATGAACACTTATTTCCCTTATGGCCAGAATAGCAAACGAGTTAGATAAGTAACACAGATCCAAAGCATTTGTCAGTAAATATACTAACTTTAACAATGGCTACATGTTTAGATAGACTGTTTTCGCATCTGTTGTTCACCTATTTGACGCTCACAGTGAATGGGCAGAACTGTCCGGGCAATATAATCGCACAAGCATTCCACAGTGGACAGAAATTATCACAGATATTTCTTAATATTAATTTGACAGGATTACAGCAGTGTTCACATGCGTGTTTGTTGAGAACAAAATGCCAAGTTATCGCTTTTAATTTTCTGACAGCAAATTGTGAGCTTGGTGAAAACGTTGCTTATGTTACTCCGTCATTTAGTAATTCAACCGGGACTATTCTAAGATCGACTTTATTACAGTTTGAAACATTTCTTTTAGAATCCTGTGTTGGGCATTCTTGTGATAATGATTCTGTTTGTGTTGAATTATCTAGTGGTACATTCACGTGCGTTTCTTTACTGACATATGTTGCACCCACGACAACGGCGTTGACAACTATTTCACCGGAGACGACGTCAACAACAGTACCCCCGACGACAACGACGACAACAGCGCTGCCACCAACGACATTACAGACAACGTCATCATCGACGATGCAATCAACTACCACTGAAGCCACCGACATTTTTTGTGGAGATCTACTTTCAGTTCCAAATGCTGACACACCAACATCCACAGAGAGATCCGTAGGAACTTCTCTTTCATATTCATGTGTCACAGGTTATATGTTGTCCGGAAACCCAGAGGTTACTTGTCAGCAGAATGGTCAATGGTCAATACCAGCGTTGACCTGCGTTTTATGTGAAACGAATGATTTCGTGTACAATTCAGGTCATCAGATTTGCTACAGACTACAACTAGACACACGGTACGTCCAACCAAATGCGGTGTTATATTGTTCCGGGATTGGTGGACGTTTGGCTAAGGTGGACACTACTGAGAAAATAAAATTTTTAGCTTCCGTCCTTCCAACGTTCACTCAGGTGTTTGTTGATGGGACCGACGCCGAGGAGGAGAGCAAATGGATCTATTCAGATGGGTCTGATGTGAATATGAATCTCTTTCAAGGAGGACAGCCAACTTTTAATACGGCAGTAAATTGTATGATATTACTATCGAACTTCGCAGAGATTGGAGAACTGAATTGTTATTCTGCTAGGTTTGTAATATGCGAAAAGTAGATGGACTAAAAATACAAATAATGTTGTTTCAACATTTAATTAGTATTCCTTGATGCTTTATTTTCTTTTGTTCTCTCTTTCAAATAGTTTTTGCTTAAAAACAACAACATTTGATTACATTTTGACTGTCACACTTCTTTTAACAAATGCAAGAATGTATGGTTTAATATAGTATGAATGTTTATGTTGTAACTTGTTGATGGTACCTTGATATCTACCCCGTTTCATTTCCTGCAATATCATTTTTTGTGTTTCTTTGTCTTTATAGCTTCAAAGTGTGATATACAATTGATAAATATTTCTTTTATGTAATAATACCTGACATATTTCAATACGGCAATTTTTTGTAGAAAATCTTGTTTGCTTTTTTTTGTTTGTTTGTTTTTTGTTTTTGTTTTTTTGCTTGTTTTCTGTTTTGTTTTCTGTTTTGCTCTGTGATGTTGTCGTATCAGGATAATAAGTCCAGGTGTTCCAGAAGAGTAAGCGTATTCTGTTTCCTCGACGATACCCGCCATGCAAATCTTGGGCAACCCAAGTAAGTAATATCATGTACTGAAATGAGAACAATGGATACAAAAATACTGCTGGAACCAACAGGCAAATTAACGAGAATACAACATGCCCAGCTTCATATTGCACAGATCACCTTTACGACAAATCAAACTGTCACATATTTTTTCATAAATATGCATCTTTTGAAACCCTTTTTTATGTTATGAGTTTGTCTGTCAGTTGGCGACATCTGGCGCTAAAATCTTGATAATGGGAACAGGCCCTTGAATATGAAATTAACTGCGACAAGTAAATTGAAATCATCATACTTATCATAAAGCTAGGTGGAAAACTGTCAATATTTCTTATGTTGTAGGAAAAGATAAGCAACTGAGTCTGTCATGTTCCTTGATTTTTCATTCTGATGTGTATATACAATGTATGATAGACGTACTTAAAGACGTATTTTAAGACGGCACATTAGCAATAAATCTGAAAGTAAAATTGAAGGACTTCGCAAGGTCTTTTAGAAATTTTTTGATAAGCTGTTTTAAAAATTCAAACTCATATGATAGCTATGTTATTAAAATATATTCATTATCATTCGATAAAGGTGAAACCATCGGAAATCTCATCAATATTTATCAGGTAATAACTAACATAAAGTGCTTTAGGTTGTTGCTATATTGCACATATATATGTATATAAACTTGTTTAAATGTTACATTATTATCGGTAATGTAAAATTTATTTGGGTATTGTATACACTTAATTTTTTTATTGAATGTAAATTATTGAAAAATAAAATAATAAACATTTTTCAGCACAGATGACGATTCACATTATTTCTTTCATTTCATTTCAGAATGTTTTATTAATATTAACAACTAATAGGGTTAGACAGCAGGCTAAAACCTATTTAAATCTACTCCAAAGACAACACAGAGGTCAGACATAAACATAATACACCATAAACACACATACATACATACATACATACATACATACATACATACATACATACATACATACATACATACATACATACATACATACATTCGTTATCGATGTTATAGATTTGTGTAATGTAAATTTATCATAGAATATGTTAACTATTGTCCACTAAATGATGATCGCAATTATCAATTTTCATTTTCCCAGAGCTGAAATTTAGAATGACGAGGCCCAATCTCTGATTCTCCTGACCTACAAATGTATAACTAACGTTTTGATATTGTACATCCATTGTTCAATCATTGATCGTTAGTAAAATTCATCACAAGACAGTATTGTACCTTATTTCAGTTCATCTTTTAACATCCGGTACCATTGATTTCAACAATTTTAATTCACACGTTCTTCTTTAGGTGCTTTTCATGTTTATAATATTTTGACAATTGTTCCTGCGATTTTAAGAGGCGTTATGTACCTTGCATAGCAAAACGTTTGAAGGGTGTTGTCTTTTTGTGTCAGACAAATAGATCAATTACGAAGTTATACTAAAAGTTATTTTACTCTAAAATAAGAATGTTTAAAGCAATACAGTTTTTTTTGGTAATTATCTTTTTATTTCCATTTTAATGTACAATACACATCATCATTATCATCATCACCACACAATCACAATCATCATCATCATCATCATCATCATCACCATCATCATCATCATCATCATCATCATCACAATTCAATATCATCCTCATCATCATCACACTTATCATCACTATAATCATCCTCATCACACCATCATTATGTATCAATCATCATTATCATCACATCACCTCCACTACCACCGCCAAATTCATCATCTCAAATCAAGATCATTGTCATCATCACCACAACCATCATCATCATCATCATCATCATCATCATCATCATCATCATCATCATCATCATCATCATCATCATCATCACACCATGATCATCATCATCATTACAAATCAAGATCATCATCACCATTTTTATCATGATCCTTATCACCACCACCACCATTATACCCTCATCATCATCACAATCGTAATTCTCATTCACTACATCACTATCCACACCATTTCACACCTCACAAAATTCAGTAATCTTAACAGCATACATCAACTCCAGGGAACAGTAACCAAAGATTTCAAGAGATGGTGTATTTACTATCAGAAATGCTGACTAAAAAAAAAAAAAAAAAAAAAAGAGACACAGATGCCAACAAATTTGTCAGAATGTATTGCACATAATTTACTGGACAGAAAAAACAGTGAGAAATAGGAAAAGCATTTAAGAAAAAAGATGAAAGAAATGGATGGAAGACTGAGAGGATAAGAATGGCCTTGTCAAGGGTTTGGAAACATCCTACTTTCGTACAAATATATATTATATATTTGAGGATAAAATTTACAAGTAGAATTTATCAGAATCCGACTACATGTCAATTAACCTTTTCCATTTACTCCATTCTACATCAAACTTCTCCTTAACAGTATCGCCCTTACTAACAGCAATATATTTTTCGACTTTGTAATTGTCTTTAATGAAGTTTACCAATGAGTTTATATGCAAAGAATTATGCAGACACCTCATTCTATAAAGAAGAAAGATTTTTTATTAATTGAAAAAGGAATAAGTAATGCCTGTAATAGTATTTCAAAACTTTGTAGTAAATTCTGTACTTCATTACATTCCCATAAAATATGAGTAATAGTTTCTCTTTCAGAGTTACATAAAATACAGAGAGGTGAGCTAACCAGACCAATTCTACAGAGAAAAGAATTTGTTGTCAGAATATGATGAACTACTCTGAACTGGAACCATTGAAGTTTTGAATTTTTTGTAGTATGGAAGGGAATCTTGAAAATTTTGGCCCATTCTTCATCATTAATATCGTCAAATTCTTGATTCCATTTCAGTTTACAAGATGGTGCCACATCATTCTTAATCAAGATATCATAAAACAGTTTTGTACCTCTAACTAGGTTAAAAAAAGGGTTGTATGTTTACAGGAATGAATGGGTAAGCTATGTTCGATAAAGTTGAATCATATGATATGAAGCTGTGGTACTGAAGAAAATTTGTAGCAATGTGATATTTACGTGTAAACTCATTTAAGGTATAAAAAGACACTGGAGCAACTTCTTTTAAAACATCACATATATTGATCACACCCTTCTTGGACCAATCCTTGTAAAAAATAGGTTTCCCCCCAATACATATTTTCTTGTTATACCAGAGTGGTATTTTGGAGATTAACTCATTATTTTCCAAATTATCTCTTTGCACAATGAATTTATACCATGATTTAAAAACATCTTTCCAGAACTGATTTTTACATTTGCTTATACATGACTGTATATATTCACTACCGCAATTTGCCAGCAAATCAATATCAATATAGGTTTTTAAAATATCCTGCCATTTTTAAGTGGTTTGAAATAACCTCCATATCCAACTTAATTTTAAAGAGCTCATGAAGGCATCTATATTAACCATCTTAAGACCTCCATTGACATGGTGTTGAACAACAACATCTCGCTTAATTTTATCTGACCCCCCATTCCATAAATATTGAAAAAAATGGAATTCAATTTTTTAATAAAGTTTTCATTTGGATTTGGAAGTGAAATAAAAAGGTAATTAAACTGTGATATTAGCAAGGATTTGATGACATGAATTCTACCAATTGGAGTTAAAGACCTTCTGCTCCATTGTTTAATCAATGATTTTAGCCTGATGAGTTTTTTGTCAAAATTCAGCTTTGGAATTTCGTGAAGATTAACACTAAAAATAATTCCCAAAAGTGTAAATTTATTCGTTCCCCACTGTAAATTGAAATCTGGTAAAAACGAATCTTCACTATATTTTTTATTACATATCCACACTACCTGTGTTTTCTCTACATTAATTTTCAACCCTGAAATTTTTGCATACTCATCAAGTTCCTTAATTGCTTCTGTCAAAGATTGTTCTGAACCATCTAAAATGAGGGAGGTATCATCTGCTTACTGGGAAACTAAAATTGGACAATTATCAATATCCATACCTTTTATATTAACATTATTCCGCAATCTCAGGGCCAAGATTTCTACACAAAGTATAAATAAATATGGGGCGATCGGGTTCCCTTGCCTACAGCCTCGTTTAATATTAATAGAAGATGACAAATTACCACCCTGATTAATAACTGAATAAGAATTATTATGTAAAGATTTAACCCAAGTTGAAATACTCTCACCAAATCCAAAGAAGTGTAGAACTATATCAATAAACAACCAAGACACAGAATCAAAAACCTTTTCAAAATCCAGCATCATCAGCATCTCAGGAATATCATTTTCTTCAGTATACTGCATTATGTCATATATTAACCTTGTGTTTACTCCTATGTACCTCCCTGTGAGAAAACCTGTTTGATCCCTGTCTATCAACTTGTCCAAAACAGTTTTAATCTTATAAGCTATAGTACCAGATGCAATTTTGTAAATAATGTTTAACAATGATATGGGCCTCCAGTTCTTAATAAAATGTCT